GGTTTTGAAATTTTATATCGGTAAGTTTCTAAGTCGGTAAGTATCGGTATCGCGTTTTTGTGTGTAGGTTTTGAAATTTTATTTCGGTTTTTTTTTAGAAAAAAGGCCTCCTGTAGCCCCTATTTGTAGATGAATATCTAAACTAGATTATCCGTCGGTCGTCTCACCTGGCATATTGATGAGAATTATAAGTTCCAAACCATCAGTCTATGGCTGGACATTTTACTGACGAGTAATCTTAACAGTTTAATGGATATTTCGGGTGCAATTCAATATTGGATGGATGGATGTAGTCAGCAGAGTAGTTGTTCTCCCCAATATTATTAGTTAAGTACTATTCTATTTTCAAAAGCTATTACAACTGTCCGATTTTTAAGAACAGCCTGTGGGATACTAATTTTGGCTGTATTTAAATGAAGCATAACAATATTTTATAAATATTGACTCGTTTATGAACTTTGTTTTCAAACAAACGGAATAAAATAACTTGGAATTAAAAAAATCAGACGGAAAGTGATTGAGTCAGTTATGGTGAAAAAATAAAACCGGTAACAATATATATTTTCTCTGAAAACACAGAAAGGTATCTATTCTTCCATTAAACTAAAAACTATTTCACATTCATTTGTTCCATATCCGTAGATTAAGACATATACATATACTATATCAGTATGGTATATTTGCGGTCTTAGAGTCTCCCCCCTCCACTTTCTGGCTTGGGATGAACTTGAGGCCGAAGGCCGATGACGTTGGTGTATGGATGACCTTGAGGCTGAAAGCCGAAAGTGACGTAGGTTGGTGACTTTCATTTGACCTTTGCATTGCAGTTAACCTTGAAATTAGAGTTGTATGGTATCTGAGAGAGGAAGAATTTTACACTTGAGGCCGAAGGCCGATGACGTTGGTGTATGGATGACCTTGAGGCTGAAAGCCGAAAGTGACGTAGGTTGGTGACTTTCATTTGACTTTGGCATTGCCGTTAACCTTGAAATTAAATTTGAAATATGTCTATCGGTGTGGATAAGTATCTTATGAGGGTGTGGCGACCTTGAGCTAGTTCAAAAGACGAAAAAATATCACATTATGTGACGTCATTCGCTTGATTTA